GGACGATCTATTCGTCGCTTCCTATTGGGACTGCAGTCAAGCGATGTCATTCGACGGCCTCCTCAACGTATGCCCGATCCATCCACCTCCAATTTTTCCTACATATCTGTTGAGCGATCGGCTCTCGCCTGTTGGTTTGTTACCAATATTCGGATATTCGAGACCAATGCGCAGTGAATCAGTGCTCTTCTGTACAGTTAAGAGAATTGACATGACAAAAAGAAGCATTTTGAACAGGCTTCTGCAAACCTTTATCAACAGTTGCCTTTCACTCCATACTAATGAACACATGGCCAAAAGAAAATAAGCATCAGTGAACCAACGAAAGGGTGTGTTACCCAACAAGTATGCAGAAGTGAATGGATTGAACACACGCTGAAGAGACTACTGAGTTACATAAAGCGCCAGATCAGTGGAACCCGAATGGAAAGCGACAAGCTGGAGGTCACTTCGAGGGTGATGTGGACGAAATCATGTGAGAAGAAGATAAACACATGTACATCTATTTAAGATGGTCTACATCAAGTGTAACGATAAGGAATGTAATGAAATAATACTTAAAGATGTATAAGGCACACAATAATTTCATGAGAAGTACAGTAGCTCTAATCAGGAAGAAAGAGCAGTAATCACTATCGTCAACGGGAGAAATCTAAAGGAAGTCACTTTTCATCATGAGCTGATATGGGTTTGAGACAGGCTAGTTTGGGACTCTTTAGCAGAATACGCACCCTACGGGGTTCGGACCCGGACCAGAACCTTCCGGTTACAAGACTAGCTAGCTCGTAGACGACCATTCAGCCACTGGTACCCGATCCATGTGAAAAATGGGCCAAATCCATTTTATCTAACTCACACCACCCTCTTCACTCACAACTCTCCCCTTGCATCTCATCAGGCAAAACCAGAAGCCTATATAGAAAACTATATACTCGCACCAACAAGTACAAAGACTCAACCATACCCTACTTAGCTCGTGTTCTGAGCGATAAAGAAAGCGTTAGGCGTGAAAATTATAACTTATTAAATAGTCAGTAGAACAACTGGACCTCGTCTTTCCAACTCATATCATTTATACGTACAACGTTTTCTTTCTTTCTTTTTCTCTCTCTCTCTTTCCGTTATATGCTGCTTTGTTTCTTTCTCCCGCTTACGGCAGTAAATATGATAGCACTTACTTTTGTAACACCTTCAAACACTGTTCAGCTTTGGCTTTGCTACCGACATGTCAATATGTTGTTGTCATAGTGAACTGAGATTTCCTTAATCTACTTTGAATTTTATTTATTGTTAATGTACAAACTGGATGAAATACTGTAGTAAAACTGCTGAGAATTCCATTCTGTATCACACGTACTGTTTTGGAATAAAGCAAATTATTAGTATTATCCAATGGCTAGTGGATGAATTCTAACTTCAGCCAATTCATGACATAGCGCAACCACATCGCAATGTTTTAATAATAATAATAATTTTTTGCTTCGATGAGTTACTGCATCACAAAGATTGAACACACATCTACGCCATCGAGAACGATTTTGAGCCATATCACCAATAGTCTCAAATCCACAGGGTTCTTAGCATTCCTTGATATGATTCACCTTGATATGATTATGAGCAATAAATTGTGCTCGAAACGTCATCAGTAAATATTACTGTATAACACTGTGAGACTCTATCAAAATAAAAATTTACCCATAATGGAATTACACTCTACCACAGTGCCCAAGTTTTATTCTTATATCAATGATTCTTAGCATTCCAGCGGACCCAACCAGGAAGTCTACATCTCTTTACTGTCAAAGACTTCATGCACTAATCCCGAGTTTTGGTTTGACCAACCTTAGATCGTTCCTAACCTGATTCTACGTCACTTAACAGTGCTCATTGAGGAAGGCGATAGATCACCATATGCAACACCTATCCAAAACATCTCAATCGATACAGATTCACAACCTCATCGATCGATTGACTCCACGTCTAACACCTGAGTATTATTCAACTTATTATAAAAAGTTAACTAGGGAAGCAGAATACATGACAGTTATCCCCTGAAAGAAACAACCTCCCTCATCTACCTACCTGGGAAGCATCGTTTCAAGTACAGGCAGACGGAACTGACGAGGATATCAAAGCAAGAATCGGAAAAGCAAGACAAGCTTTCACTGCTCTCAAGTCTCTGTGGAGGTCAACAGCACTCAGCATCAAAAATAAGATCCGGATATTCAACTCCAATGTGAAGTCAGTCAGTGCTATTATACGGATCAGAGACTTGTACTGCGCGTCATAAAGATCACCTCAAACAAACTACATACCTTCATTAACACTTGTCTTCGCTCAATACTCAAGATCAAATGGCCCGAAAAGATTAGCAACAGGGATCTTTGGGGGCGAACCAACGCAACAGGAACCGATTGTGAAACAAATAGGCAGGAAGAAATGGAGATGGATTGGCTGGCCATACTCTTAGGATACCACCAAGTGACATCACTAGACAAGCCATTACTTGAGTGGAACCCGAAAGAGAAGTGGCGAGTCGGTCGTCCAAGGGTGACTTGGAAGAGGTCATGTGAAGAGGAGATGAAAACGTGTGGGCAGACATGGAGCCAGGTGAATACTCTAGCAGAGAATTGAAAGCAATGGAGACGCACGGCTGAAGCCCTATGTTCCTCTAGGAATTAAAGGATACAATAATAATAATAATAACCGCTCGCATATGTTCCACTTTCAGTGACCATGTCTCACAGCCGTACAGGAGGATGAAGTAAACTGCTGCTTCGCATTACAGACATCCTTTGATCAATAGCCAACCGGATATCAAATCTACACCGGAGATGATAATGTTTTGTATCCATGCTGAGATTTCATCAGCAGTCGATCGATTAGGGCTGATGCAATTTCCTGAATAAGTGAGCAGTAATCTCTCGAGAGATCCAATAAAAATCGCATCCTCGCCAGTTACTGACCTTCAGATACGTTTCTCAAGGTGTAAATGACATCTGGTGCTTGATTGCAGTGTCAGATTTTCGTCTGTGCTTTTGGAAGTGTGTGGGCGGTTGTTACTTCCCGGCTGCCCACACCATGGAATTTGATTAATTCTTCGGGTACCTGAAACAGAGAGAGGGTTAGTGCTGCGTGACCACAGAGCCCACGGGACAACTGCTTGAGGCCAGCCGGTCACACACGGCCTGTATGTACTGGTTTCTTCAATTGGTTCCGTATTAGTAAACTTACCACCGGTTACAGACCACCGTAGGTGGGGTAAGTCGGGATGTACAATTGTTGGGGTTGACCTTTTCTAACCCCTCCCTCTCTCCAGAGTGGAGAGACAGCATAGCTAGCTGGCATGCCGGTCATCTGAGGGAAACACCTCACTGCTGTTACACCCCTGTTCCCCAACAGTACGACTTCACCCACAGACCCCCAGCATAGTGAGGGAAAACATTCCTACACAATGCCGGTGACTACCTTTAGTCTAATCCCACTATCCTAACAACCTTCCTGGCATGGTAGGACCTGCAGGAACATTGATTCCAGCCAGTGTAGCTTGTTGGGTCATCACGATACGACATGTAAGCCCGACTACAACGTCAAGGTAGCAGCTATCGGTCTGCATGTGTCCGATTTTTGAAACAAGCGGCTATGGGTCTCACTTTTATTGCATGAAATAGATGTTAACCAGACTGAACGGGAGTCTAGATCCACAGACCTGTTGGCTGAATGATGAAAACTGAGTACTCAGGCGCATCAGCCGCCATATCTCCCACACACGTACAAATCTGTCTGTCAGTTTTCGACATAGAACTTTGCACCGGTGTGCACCAGTTCAAGCCGCCACACTCCCTCGATGTAGCACACAAAGCAAGAGAAGAAATGCATAATATAGACAGTAAACAGAGGTGTGAGACAAAGGAATAGTGATAACGAAGAACAATATAGTTTCATTGGAAATCATAAGTCACAAGGAGTGGATGCATCTGCGCCAGCCATTGAGAACGATAAGTTTGAGCCATATCACCGATTGTCTCCAGCTTTCATTGGTTGTTACCGTCCCGGGGACCGGAAGTCTACACCTTCCTACGTGGTGGCTGGCTTAAACTAACTGTTTTGGATTTCATTGACTGGTGACATGTTTTGGTTTGACCGCCGCTAGTTCTTTTCAAGCCTGACCCTATGTCAGCTAACATTGCCCATTGTCGATGAAGGCGATGGCTAGGCAGGCATGCGTAACACATGTCCTAACCATCTCAGTCGATGTAATTTCACACGTACAAATGGTGATACTTGACTAATGGGTCGGCATGATATGATATATTATAAATCAATAGCAAACAAGTAAACAAACACTATTCAACTATTCTCTTTCATGAATTCAGTTTATTTACATAAATCAATAAATCAATAAGTAAACAAAAAGAAACAATCAATACATCAAGTCAAATAAATAATAATAATAAACAAGCAAAAATACAGATAAATCAATAAATAAACAATCGATCAGTTAATCAGTCAATCAATAAATCAATCAATGAATATTTCTTTCTAAAAAATAATAAAACGACGAAAGGGAAGTGGATTGAAATGAAAGAAAACGGCATGAAAAATTGGACAAATAACCAGCTAACTAATTAACCGACAACAATAACAACGACGAAGATATCGATTAAAATTATTTATAAATACAAAAATACCCTAAATAAAACAACAACAATAATAATCATAAGAATAATAGTGTAATATGACAAGAAATGCAAAGGGAGGAGGACGCGCGGTGGGAGTGGGTGGGTTTTGGTGGAAATATACAATAGGGAATGGATATGTATTTATGCGTAAATAACAGAAAATAGAGGGAGAAGAAGGAGCCTCATTGAACGATAGCAAAAACGACGGCACGGAGATGCATTTGCCTCCTGGGTATTCGTGGTACACATTGAATTATCTAATATACAATATTACCAGACACAGAATCGTGTTGTCGGTAGTGATTTGAGCGGTGGTGTGTATAGAATGCTTGCCTCATAAGCGTGTGGTCTGGGGTTCGAATCCCAGGCTAGCGAAACTGATAATATCACACAGCTAATGAGACTTTCAGGCCTCAAGAGGCTTGAGACCTTCACTTCTCTATGTTCCACATTTGGAACGCAGAAGAATAAAAATGAGACAATAACCAGACAAGATGAGTACTGCTCAGTAGTGATATTGTGGAGATATGCAGAATAATCTACAATAACAATACAAAAAGGTTAAAAGTCATGGTGACCAATGTATTAATTCTCTCCATTATTTACAACACGCTGCATCAAGCTGATGAGAGTTTCTAGTCCATAACGAAAGCCTTCAGTTAATTCATAAGTTATATAATAACTACTATCGTCCTCCGCGTCCTCCCCCTCGTCCTCGTCGGCAGCATTATTGTCATTGTCATTGATATGAGTTTTACTCGTCGAGGGATGAGGATTTTTCTCTTCCCAATGGGCAAAATCAATTAAATACACCTGAGCACGTGTATTGGAACCATTAATACAATTGCTGTTAGCAATATTAGTAGGAATAGCATTAGTGGTAGACGGGATCAACTGGGAATTATTCATACGATTTGATTTTTCTATTAACTTTGTCGATACTACTCGTAGGCCGTTAGTAGTAGTAGTAGTAGCGTTAGTCGTAGTGGTGGTGGTGGTTGTGGAGGTGTTGTTCGACGGTGGGAATTCTTCACATCCTGTTGGTACGGATTCATGAATGAACAGTAGGGAGGAACGACAAAACGTTAGTCGTTTTGCACCATATTCTTTATACCAGTGTAATATACGACCAAGTTGGATAAGATACTTGTGTGCAAGTTCTACACGATACACAGGATCTGGGCCAAGAAATGTTTTCAAACCTTGGGGAAAAAAGAAAGAAAAAGAAGAAAAGAGGGAAAATTAGGAAAATTAAATTAAATAGCTTGTGTGGAACTAGGTATATCGGCTGTGCTCACTTAGCGTTTTCTATCCAAACGTTTCATCGAAAACTTATGGTTTTATGTAGGAGAAAAAAGATCTATAGTTTGGTTTGTAAGGGTTAGTTATGTTTTTACGAGTTCATCACGGACTGATATCAGTTAGAGAACCATTGAAAACCAAAGAGTACTGGACAGCTGCTGTTTCATCCTAGTTTGGGAATCATCGGCAGTACGCGCCTACTGGGATTCGAACCCAGGACTTTCCGGTTACAAGGCAAGCCCGTATACCATTCAGTCACTGGGATCCGACTCAATGACTCATGAATTCTAACTTCTACCAATTCGTGATTTAGCGCGACCAGGTGATGCTCCCTAGTGACTTGCTACAGGATGGAGTTTCCTGGAGTTCTAGTGAGAAGTCGTGACCAGTGAGGTCCAATTAGATGTCACGTGTGTGGATGGATGTCCCACCAACGACAGTGGTTGGGGTTGCGCTAAATCACGAATTGGTAGAAGTTAGAATTCATGAGCCATTGAGTCGGATCCCAGTGACTGAATGGTATACGGGCTTGCCTTGTAACCGGAAAGTCCTGGGTTCGAATCCCAGTAGGCGCGTACTGCCGATGATTCCCAAACTAGGATGAAACAGCAGCTGTCCAGTACTCTTTGGTTTTCAATGGTTCTCTAACTGATATTGTGGTGAGAGCGGTCTACTAGCCAAGTGGTGGACAGTAATTGAGGTCAATGTTTATGTATCAAATATTAGTCATGTTGTGGTGAGAGATGGTTGCTGGCCAAATTGGTTGACAGTAATCGAGGTCAAAGGTCAAGGTGGACAGGCGGTTACAGTTAACATATAGATGAACTGACACAGCCACAAGAGATGCAAGGTTAACTTTGTGTGAGAAACAACCAATCAACAGACTGTATTTTCTACTAACATTGACCTTCAATAATGTACATAAAAATCTATAAATACGTGTTGATTTTTCGTAATAAACGATCTGTTGCCTGGCCCTTGTCTTCTGTTGTTACAATATCAGTCCGTGATGAACTCGTAAAAAGAAAAAAGATCCCCGCAACACCCACAGCAGCTCTACCCTGGAACATTTAGTCGAAGAATTTGGCCACCAAGCTAACTCACCCACAAAGGAGCCTCAAATTTATCGACAGAATACGTGGGAATTTATCTAGCTAAAAGAGCACGAACCAAACTGGAGAAGCGATGGCGATTCACATGAACCCTGAACTCTGTATACAAAAGAAGTTTGTTCAGTCATTAAATCTACAATGGACCTGAACTATTTTAACACTTGATGTGTAATTTTTTGTTCCTTAATTGTATTATTTCCATCCCTCACCCCCTATTAAATTTTTTAGCCCTTGTTACTACTGTTGTTAACTTAACTGTCGTTCAATTTTAACTCAGTTCCACTCAATCCCGTCAACTATGCTACGTTACTACTCAATCTATTTACTTGAATTTTATTTTATTTTCTACCCAAATAACGCTTTCTACATTACGTAATTTGTTATCTAAAATTTACAATTCTAATGACACACATCTTTGGAAATACTCTTTCGGTTGCTGAGATCAGCTTGAAAATGATATCGCCGAAAAGAAGGGCAACTCTTCACTGAACGCCTTTTATCTTGATTTGGAATTGTCAAGGGATGAAGACAATTCACTTTTACTTGGATGGGTGGGGGGGGGGGGAAGGTAATGTCGTTTAACCAACCAACAACAACAAGCACCAATCACTATCAAGGGAAGAAATTTGAAAGAGGTCATTTCCTTCGACTGTGTTAGCAGCATCGTTTGAACTTCAAGCGGAGGAATGGATGAAGATGTCAAAACTAGCCAGAATCGGAAAGGCAATGCAGACTGGACCAGTTTCGCCGACGAAATCTTAGCACGCATACAGAGGGCTAGTTTCGCATATGCCAGTTTACGCCGTCTCCAGGTGGCTGTCGATCAAAAGCCGTGTGCACTGCTCAGTAGTCCGCTCCGTCCTCCTTTATCACTGTGAGTGATACCTGGTCATCGACAGTAGAAGATATGAAAAGGCAAGCTTTCTTCGATCATAGGTGCCTGAGTCCTATCTACTGTGTGAAGTGGTATAATTGGGTGAGCAATATCGAGGTTAGGCATCGGTCGAGTGAGTGCTAGGTTAGGAGGGGAAATCAATCGACGAGGCTATGAAGTTGCACCGATTGAGATGGTTAGGACATGTGTTACGCATGCATTCCTAGCCATCGATTGCCTTCCTCGACGGGAAATGTTAGCTGACTGACATATGATGGATCAGGTTGGAATAGAGCTAGTGGTGCTTGGCTAAACCAAAGCATGGCTTCATCAGTCAATGAAATCCACAACAGTTAGTTTAATCCAGCCATGTAGGGACGTGTAGACTGCCTGACTGGCTGGTTGGGGTCCTCAGGACGGTAAAAACCAATGGCTGGAGATAATTGGTGATATGGCTCAAAATCGTCGTTGTCAATGGCTGGCGCAGATGCATCCACTCCCTGTGACTTATAATACCCAATAAAACTATATTGTTCTTCGTCACTACTATTCCTTTTGTCTCATTTCTCTGTTTACTGTCTCTATTTTGAATGTCTTTTTACTTTCTTCTTTTGTTTTGTATGCTACATGGAGGGAGTGTGGCGACTCGAACTACTGCACATCAGTGCAAAGTTCTATATTGAAAACAGACAGACAATGCAAACTGCCATCACTTTGAAATCAGTTCGGATTTTCAACACAAATGTTAAGTCAGTTAGGTCTTTTATATGGATCACAAATTTGGAGAAAGTGTCACGAAAAGCATTTTCAACAGCTGCCAGCTTTGATGGCTCAATAGTCAAGATCGAATGGCTGGCTGGTCAGAAAGAATTAGCAACAAGAAACTCTGGCTAGGAACAAACCAACAGGTGAGAACCTATTGCTCAAGAAATATCCAGGGGAAACTGGAGATGGATTAGGCACATTGACCGCTGAGGAGACCGTCAAATGAAACCGCAAGCTAGACACTAGTTCAAGTGGAATCTAAATGGAAAACAACGAGTTGAGCGGCATAACTTCAAGGGTGACATGGACGAGATCGTGTGTGAGAAGATGAGAGATTAGAGGCAATCGCAGGGACTACAGAAGACGACTACAGAAAACAGGATGAAATGCAGATGTCCTACTGAAGTCCAATGTTCCACTCGCAACCCAAGGGAATAATAACAATAATAACGCCGATTTAATTCAACTTGGTCCTTCCTGTTGATTGATTGGACTGAATTCTTCGGCCTCAGCTTGACATGTCAACTCTCTGTGCGGATGCTTGGACGCTGTTTGAGGATTTAACTGGAAGTAATTTGACGGATCGTGACTAGCAGTGGGATCCATGACGCGTATTTCCCCCTATTTGCGACTACTTGTCAGCGGCATCTACCTGCATTCCCCATTGAGTGATGGGGTTTCTATCAACGGGAAAGTCCAACAGGTGGCTCTCATGGCCCAAATGGTGTCTGAAACGATGAGTTCGAGCCTCAGTGCAAACACACTATCAACACTCACTGGGGAATGCAGGTACATCCAGGTAGTTGACGAGTCCAAACACGGGACGAAACGTGCGTTATCCTCGATTCCGCTTCTAGTTACCATCCACCAAATTACTTAAAAACAAAACACTGATTGCCGAAATCTCGACAAGTGAAAGCGGGGTGTTTCGACACCGTCACATATCTACTAGGCTGTTAAAGATTGACGATTTTAAATTTAAAACGATAATTTATAATAGTAATTAGTTAGAGGATTTTATCAGGAGCTAACATCTGTTACAGAACCACTAGAAAACCATTCGGGGAGTACTGGATAGCTGTTTCGTCAGCCTAGTTTGGCACTCCACTGCAGCAGTACGCACCTACACCATAAGGTTCAAACCCACGACCTTCTGGTTACAAGGCTAGCGAGCTCGTTAACCATTCAGTCACTGGGGTCCTGATCCAATGCCCCATTGTATGAATTCTAACTTCTGCCAATTCAAGACATAGCGCGACCACTTAACAATGTCTTCTTCGATGAGTAACTGTCCTCACCTTCGACCTGCTGTAGTCCACTGGTCACGGCTTCCCACAAGAAGAAGAAGACATTGTGACGTGAATTGGCAGAAGTTAGAATTCATACAATCGGCCGTTGGATTGGGACCCAGTGGCTTAATGGTCGTCTACAAGATCGCTAGCCTTGTAACCAGAGGGTTCCTGGGTCCAAACCCCGTGGTATTGGTGCGCACTGATGAAGAGTCCCAAACTAGACTGACGAAATAGCTGTCTGCCCCAATACTCCCTGACTGGTTTTCCAATGGTTCTCTAGCGGATGTCAGCTCATGATGAAATCCTTCAACCAATCAATCGAACATAATCTCTACAGAACCAATACTTGAAAAAACAGTAATTAGTATAAAAGTTGCAATCTCTCTCTCTACAAGGTTTTCACAAGATTACACATCAGCATTCATTCAACTACTGAGTCAAAATCTCATAAGACCATGACGATTCGCTTGTCTCAGTTAAATTTCCTCCAGCTAGCAAACACTACTCAAATGAATTAGTAGTATATATGTGTATCGGGACAAGAATTTTTGCTTCGTATCACCACCAGCTATACTGTTGAAAAGATAATCGATTATTTGAAGCAAAACAATGACCTTGACAATAAATTCAAAAGCAAACTGAACGTGTACACAAATAAGTTAAGGCGTTGTTATTACTGTTATTACTATTTTTGTTTTAACAGATAATTGACTTATCATACCATGACAGTTAACATATAGCGTAGCGTACATGGATAATTTTTTATATTAGAGTTAGGAAAATACGTGTGACCAATAAAAAGGCCTATTAACAGGACAATTGTTATTTAGTAAAAATCATTAGTGGAATTTTTATGTTGTAAACTAGTTGGAATTATCTTTTCCTTCACATTTCAAGAATATTTTATATCGTCACAAATTAATCTATTAAAATACATTACGTAGACAAGTATGAAACAATTCTTGGTGTGGCGAGTGCTACTGATGAGATCTATAAGTAGTATATATATAGACACAGATTTGTAAAAAGTAGACAAAATTAGAAACAATATTTCAATTTAGTGGCTAGAGAAGTAGAAGTGTTTTTATTTGTCAAATTTGGATTTAGCTTACGTTGTGGTCAGGAAATAATCTTAAGGAAATTAGCAACCAATCAGAAGAGTTTATTTATCTGCTGAACTAGATGACCATAAACATGTGGTGAAAAATGTATAAATATGGTGTGTTTATCCTCAATGAAAAGGTTCATTACCATATCTCTGGTCTTCTCCCGTTTCACGGACACTTGAACTCACCTCTGTATATTAAGGAACAAGATGCAGATTTTCAACACTGATGACAAGTTAGTTAGTGTTTCGATAGATAGTGCCAGTTTACGCCGTCTCTGGCGTAGACGCGATATCTGACTATCAACCAAAGGGCGTGTGTACTGCTCATCAGTCTGCTTCGTCCTCCTTTATGGCTGTGAGACCTGGCCATTGAGAATGGAAGACATGAAAAGACTGGCCAGCTGTCTTTGATCATAGGTGTCTGCGTTCTATCTCCCGCGTGAAGTGGTATAATAAGGTGAGCAATATTGAGGTTAGGCGTCGAGTGCTAGGTAAGGCGGGGAAATCAGTCGACGAGACTGCGAACTTACATCGACTGATTTGGTTAGGACATGTGTTACGCATGCCTGCCTAGCCATCGCCTTCCTCAACAATGGGCAATGTTAGCTGATATAGGGTCAGGCTGGAAAAGAGCTAGCACGCGGCGGTCAAACCAGAACATGGCTTCATCAGTCAAAGAAATCTACAACAGTTAATCTAAGCCACGTAGGAAGGTGTAGACTTCCTGACGGGTTGGGGTCCTCGGGACGGTAAAAACCAATGGTTGGAAACAATTGGTGACATGGCTCAAAATCGTTCTCAGTGGCTAGCGCAGATGCATCCACTCCCTGTGACTTATGATTTCCAGTTAAACTGTTTTGTTCTTCGTTATTACTATTTCTTTGTCTCACACCTCTGTTTACTGTCTCTAATATGCATTTCTCCTACTTTCTTCTCTTGCTTTGTGTGCTACATGGAGGGAGAGTGGTGACTTGAACTGCCGCACATATGTGCAAAGTTCTATGTCGAAAACAGACAGACAGACAGATAGATAGTTCCAAGACTTCACAAGCACTCCTTAAGTGGTTAACAGGCAACTAACCAATGTATGTAATGTATTTACCAGACAAATATTATTATGACTATTGTTCCCTTGGCTTTCCAGGAGAACATAGGGCTTCCTGATTACATCTTCACTCCATCCTATTTTCTGAAGTCCTATTTTTAGCTGGCCTCACGACTGTCAACAGTCTCTCGTCACCTCCATGTCACCCTTGGACGCTCCACTCATTGTTTCCCCATAGGATTTCACTGGGGTGATGGTCTGGTCGGCTCGTGATGTTATTCGACAACTAATTCTTTCTGGGTGACCAGCGATTTGATTTTCAATATGGAGTCATTGAACCTGGCAGCTGTTGATAAAACTCTGCGCTGCCCTGTTGGAAATGCTGTTCATGACGCGTTCGATATGTTTTAGACCTATATAGAAGAACAGAGTAACTTAACACCATTGTTGAAAATCCGAATCATTTTCTGTATGCTCACTGAGTGCAGAAGATTTCCAAAATGATTTCAGAGTGATGATGGATTAGTGGACAGACACGCTGAGAAAAAAGTTGAGTGACATCACGACGCACCAGGCTGGTCGTCGAGCTGAACCTGAACGGGAGACGACGCGTTGGGCATTGAGGAGATCGTGTAAGAAAGCTTGTAGGCAATCGTGGTACCAGAGAGAACTGGAGAGAACAAGGTGAAATAACGATGTCCAGCTGAAGCCCTCCGCTCCACTCAGAACATAAGGGATTAACAACAATGATAATTGTAGAAACATTTCACCAAAATAATCCAATAACCGCACAAAGAACTTACCAACGGAATAAACTTGTTCTGGATTTAAATTACGTCCAAATGCCTTGGGTAACTTGATCATACAATGAGTTCTTGGATCGTAAACCTTATAAAGTGAAAAACAAAAATGAAGAATATACATTATATTGCCATTTGACTGGCATGGCAACTCCTAGTGCGGTGTGTCTGTGCTACTGACAAGATGACATGAAAAGGTTGACTGTTTTTGATCATAGATGTCTACGATCTCTTTCTCACGTTAGGTGGTATAATAAGGTAAGTAATGCTGACGTTAGGCGTAGAGTGTTGGGCAAAGAGGGAAAATCAATCGAAGAGGCTATAAAGTTACATAGATTGAGATGGCTAGGTCACGTGCTGCGCATGCCTAACCATCGCCTCCCCCACTCCGACGGGCATTACTAGCTGATGTAGGTGAAGGTTGGAGGAAAAGAGTAAGTGGTGGCCAAACAAAAACATGGCCTCATCAATCCATGAAATCCTTGACAGTTAAACTGAGTCAGGTAGGGAGAGAGATGAAGACTTCCGGGTTGGGGCCAGCCCTCCGGACTCTAAGAATCAATGGCTGGAGACAATAGGTGACATGGCTCAAAATCCTTGTCAATGGCTTACGCAGATGTATTCAGTCTCTGTAATCTTTCATATTCCTTTCTACCATTACTCATTCTGTTTCACTCTTGTACTTGTCAAAACTCTATTGATTCTCTTCACTCATTTTCCTGTCTACCTTTGTGTGCTATTTGGAACGTGGCAACTCGAACTGCTGCACTTCGGTGCCAAGTTCTATGTTGGATTCAAACAGAGACAGATAGACTGACAAGATTTATCAGTAGTATATAGACGCAGATTGATAGGAAGCACTTTAGAAAATTGAAATCAACATTTTAAGTCATTCGTTGTAAAGGTTTGTGCGTTGTGGTCATGAAATAATCTCATTGGATAACTTGTTTAACCTTGGGTTAATTGTCAACCAACTAGGAGAGTTTATTCTCCACTGCCCCAGGTGAACTTTTATGTGGGAGGATAAGAATGTAAAAATATGAACTAGAATTCTACTGTTAGTACATGGATGATGATACATTTTTGATTACGAAAACAATGAGGATAAAGCAAAGAACATCCTGGGCAAATTCAACGATGTTCATCCTGCAATAAATTTTACCATCGAGAAAGAAAAAGACTCTAGTATTTCATTTTTAGACGTCCTTATGACCAGAAAAGAGGATGCTATAACTGGTCAGTATACCCACTTTTCCAACTTCGTGCCCTTGAAGTACAAACGCAATCTGATAAAGTGCTTGGTCCATAGAGCAAGAACAATCTACTCTGATGAATGTCTTGATGAAGAAAGCGGTTATCCAGAAAAATTTATTGATAAGAATATGAATCAAAAATCAAGGCAGCCTAAGGTACCTACAGTTCCGAAAAAGGCATTATTCTTACAAATTCAGTTCCTCGGGGATAACATCAGCGAGATAATAACATGACGCCTTAGAAATGCGGTAAAAACAGCATTCCATGCTGCCAAATTACGCTGTCTTTAAAACCCCTCCTCTTTTGCGTTCAGGAGTAAAAGACAAACTGCCTAATTTCGCCTCTTCTATGTGTGTGTATCTACCAATTTAACTGCTCCTGTGGAGCCAGTTACATAGGCCATACAATTAGGTGTGTTTCTCGTCGAATTTCCGAACATCATCCTCAGTGGTTGGTTAAGGAAAGGACGAACAAAATCTATTCTTAGCGCTATTCTATCTAATCTTGTGGATACAGAACACAAGACTGATGTCAACGAGGCGTCTTTCAAAGTCATTTACTGCATACCAACAAATCTCAATTTCGCCTTAAGAGTTCGACTACTAAATATTGCTGAGGCTGTTGGGATCCACATTAAGAAGCCTGATTTATGCGTCCGAAAGAAGCTAGTTCAACATTGTCTTTACCTTGGCCATCTAGGTTCTAATGGTCCTCAGTTTGTTGTGGAAATTTCCTAATTTTAGTTGATATTCTATTTGCTATTATATCTTTGTTATTATTATAATTTATGCATCTTTACTGAACTGTAATTCCATTGTGATCTTACTTAACAAATCGATATTATTCAAGAGACGCTAATATTGTTATTGACTACTATTCTAGAATATGCTATGTATATAAACATATACGTATAGAATTGTAGAGCCAGAAGAGGAGGAAATTATCGAAAAGGATATTCTTTGCTCACATTTATTTTGTTTCTCCTTAATAGAAAAGTTCGTTACCAACCCTCTGTCTTATCTTCTGCTGTTACACTAGTACAAACTCTTTGACGATGTCTAAAGGTTAACAAACAATACTTCATCCTGTTTGGGACTCTCATCAGATGAATGTACTGGTATCATCAACAGGGAGTGATAGCCTTTCAGGTGACACTTGAACCCCAACACTAATCAATTTAAACACCAAAGCCTAATAACAGATAACTTAAACTAACAATTGAAGACTTCAATATCACGTATTGTCGAAAACGAGCCCATTTCAGGAGAGATAAGTTGTTTGTCTGGACAATTAATATCATTTCACCGGCTGATGGTATTCAGTAGTTCACAGCTCACTATTTCTTCTCTTTTTCTATGACAGTTTCACCAGTTGCAGTTTTGGATTCGTTCTCTTGGGGTGGGAGAGTCATGGATGAGTATTGTAGCCCACATAGATAACCTGATTGATAAGACTGGGCTCCACAATCCGAACGGATCGAATGTCGTGTGAATCTGTTTTGATCACTGACAACCTCGGGAACGAAACTCATGACGCTGCTCAACTGTTTTGTGTAAGGATCAGACTTCAGGTCAAAGGTCCTTAGGGTGGGAGACTTCTTAAGACAACCGCAGGACTTCATCATGAGCTAACATTCGTTAGAGAACCATTGGCGAACCCGCTAGGAGAACTGGACAGCTGCTCCGTCGTACGCAGTACGCACCGACTGGAGTTCGGACCCAGAACCTTCCGGTTACAAAGCTAGCGAGCTCGTAGACAATTAAGCCACTGGGGACCCGATTCAATGGCCGGTTTATGAATTCCAACTTCTGCTAATTCATGATATAGAGGGACAGGCACTAGCCAATTTCATCGTTGGCGAGTATTTGTCCTCACACCCGACCTGCTGTACCTCACTTCTGGTCACGGTTTCTCACTAGAACCCAGATAACCACTTACCTGAATAGGGCCAGTCGCTAGTGAGGATCAGATCGATTTCAAAGTGTTGGTTTTTTGGGGGAGGGATTTGATTAGTTACAGGATTTCATTGCGAGTTAACATCTGTTTTTTGTGGCGTATCTCTTCGTGCCCCATATGTGTCCAGCTTGTGTTTTAAAAACAAACAAGGACTGTTGAACAGTTACAGATTCCGATGAAACAGCTAACCAATGATTCCTGGTTTCGGATGAGCTTTATAACCAACAAAATTTCATTGATCTAAATTCTCCTAAAGTTGTTGCGCCATATACTACTTATATATCCATGGTTATGAGTAATATACAAGTTATCTCAACAAAAAAACACTTAAAATACAGAAATACTACCACCACCTACCACCACTTATACATTAGCATAAACGAAAAACAAAACAAAACACAATGTGACTCACTTGCATACCAGACAGCAGGAAGCCAAGTTTACGACGCCATGCATATTTAAACTTCTCTCTGGATATCTTATCTTCAGAGGAACCAGGCAGATATGTGATTGTACCCATTTTGAAATCGCATACATTAGGTTGTTTAAAACTGGCTACTAGATCGGAGAGACCTACATAGTAGGCTGATGTGTTTGTGTGTGCATAGAAAAACGCAATCACACACACGCACAAACGCACGCACGTACGAAATCGAAAGAAAGAATGAAAAAAATGCAAATTTTAATTGAGTAATTTAATTATTAACTTGAGAATTAATGAAAAATAAAATAATAAATCATCTTATGAAAAATGAGAGAGCAATGCAAAATTAATTTAATCATCAAAAATAATTGAAGTGAAAATGTATGATTGAAATTAGCGCGCAAAAACGTTCAAATATTCAATATGAGTGACCCATCCATTCACAAGGGGAGCTCAGCAAAGCCTTTGAAGTGAAGATAAGTGAAGTGAAGAGATAGATAGAAGAAGAAGAGGCGTTGGTGTTAAATGACTATCCTATAAAATTCATTAGGAATATAAAAAAAGGTCGAAAGCAAAACAAAAGTACTGGTGAAACTAATAATGATAACATAAATAACAAAGAATATAAGGCATCTACAGTAGATTTACCATATAAGGAGGAGACATGTGAGACCCTCTCCACGTAGGATTCTCAATAAAGCAGGAATTAAGGTGGTGGCATTTGAACCTAAAAACTCACTCAGGCAGGACAAGCTCCGTGAGTTAAAGGACCTTGTAGGCTGACCCAATTAGACAAAATAATACAATTTACAAAATACCTTGCAATGACTGTGAGTTAGGTCAACTACATAGGTCAAACTAGTAGGTCGGGGGTAGTCAGCTTGTCGAAACATAAGAATTTAGTGGCTAAGGTTAGTATGGTTGATCCCGAGAAGATAAGGAATTTAGAAAAAAGCTCAGCAGTTGCACTGCACGCATTAACACACAACTACACAAAAGGGTGGGTCGGACAGAGTCACAATTCTAAGAAGTAATATATGTAGGTGGAGAAAGAGAGAGAGATTGATTACTGAATCCTTGTTCATCGAATAATCTACACCCAACACATGAAATAGGAATGACTCATCACTCATACGGGAAATATGGAAAATACTACTACCAATCAAATCAAGCGATGGAAAATAATGGAATATATAAAAACGAAGTTAGAAAGTTGTGTGAGTAACTTAACTTCATATGATTATGAGCAGTGATAAATTGTGCTGGAAACGTGGTCATCAGTAAATATTACTGAATAACACTGTGTGAGACTTAATCAAAATAAAATTTTAACCAAAATGGAATTATACTCTACCACCACAGTACACAAGTTCTATTCTTATTCAAACTATCATATTAAGTAGAAAATTATTATCATCACTTTTAATCTCCTTTGTTATTATATGCTTGCCATTAAATAATAATAATTGTATCTACGTAAAATTATGTATATAAATGCGATTATACAGCTGCTTTTGAGGTTGAAATAGCCGCAAAAATATGTGTATCTTTGCTGAACTTCTTGTTCTTCTCTATCTAAATCTCAGTGAATGACTTGACTCTCTAATCCCGAACACTGTATACATTATAATCACTAGTCGGTCGGTCGGTCGGTTTTCGACATAGAACTTTGCACATATGTGCGCCAGTTCAAGTCGCCACTCTCCTTCCATGTAGCACACAAAGCAAGAGAAGAAAGTAGAAGAAATGCATAATATAGACAGTAGACAGAGGTGTGAGACAAAGGAATAGTAATAACGAAGAACAAAACAGTCACAAGGAGTGGATGCATCTGCGCCACTGAGAACGATTTTGAGCCATGTCACCAATTGTTTCCAACCATTGGTTTTTATCGTCCCGAGGACCCCAACCCGTCAGGAAGTCTACACCTTCCTACGTGGCTCAGAATAACTGTTGTGGATTTCGTTGACTGGTGCCATGTTTTCGTTTGACCGCCGCTAGCTCTTTTCCAGCCTGGTCCTATATCAGCTAACATTACCCATCGTCAAGGAAGGCGATGACTAGGCATACGTAACACATGTCCTAACCACATCAGTCGATGTAACTTCACATTCTCGTCGACTGATTTCCCCTCCTTATCTAGCACTCGACGCCTAACCTCAATATTGCTCACCTTATTATACCACTTCACGAGGGAGATAGAAAGCAGACACCTATGATCGAACACAGATAATCTTTTCATGTCTTCTACTCTCAATGGCCATGTCTCACAGCCATAAAGGAGGACGGAGCGGACTGTTGAGCAGTACACACGCCCTTTGGTCGATAGTCGGATGTCACGTCTACGCCAGAGACGGCGCAAACTGGCATATGCGATTGGCATGCGATTCGCCCCTATAAAATGTAAGATGATGCTGCAGGATTGGACTTCATCGACCCCTAGATTAGAAATAGGAAGTGAAGTGGTAGAACACGTTGACCGCTTCACTTACTTGGGAAGTACCATCAGCCCCAACGAGTTGATCTCCGACGAAATTTCAGCACGAATACAGAGGGCTAGGTTCGCATTCGCCAGTTTTCGCCGTCTCTGGCGTAGACGCGATATCCGACTATCAACCAAAGGGCGTGTGTACTGCTCAACAGTCCGCTCCGTCCTCCTTTATGGCTGTGAGACATGGCCATTGAGAGCAGAAGACATGAAAAGATTAGCTGTCTTCGATCATAGGTGCCTGCGTTCTATCTCCCGCGTGAAGTGGTATAATAAGGTGAGCAATATTGAGGTTAGGCGTCGAGTGCTAGGTAAGGCGGGGAAATCAATCGACGAAACTGTGAAATTACTTCGACTAAGTTGGTTAGGACATGTGTTACGTATGCCTAGTCATCACCTTCCTCGACGGGCAATGTTAGCTGATATAGGGTCAGGCTGGAAAAGAGCTAGTGGCGGTCAAACCAAAACATGGCACCAATCAATGAAATCCACAACAGTTAATCTAAGCCACGTAGGAAGATGTAGGCTTCCTGGTTGGGGCCCTTGGGATGGTAAAAACCAATGGTTGGAAACAATTGGTGACATGGCTCAAAATCGTTCTCAGTGGCGCAGATGCATCCACTCCTTGTGACTTATGATTTCCAATGAAACTGTTTTGTTCTCCGTTATTACTATTCCTTTGTCTCACACCTCTGTTTACTGTCTATATTATGCATTTCTTCTACTTTCTTCTCTTGCTTTGCGTGCTACATAGATTGTGGCGACTTGAACTGCCGCACATATGTGCAAAGTTCTATGTCGAAAACCGACCGACCGACCGACCGATATGCGAACCTAGCCCTCTGTATTTGTGCTGAGACCATGATACAGTTGTGTCTCACAACCATAGAACATGTGTGGCTCACTGGTTTACACACTCGGCTTTACTAGAAACAGCAGAACGCATGTTTAACGTTCATTTCACAAACCCGAGTTTGAACAGTAAGGTAGTCATCCCCAGTTCCCATTCAAGTACAGTTGAATCTCAAGTCAAGGGGGGAGTGGATGCGCATTTGAAGGCACTAGTGAGGGCAGCGCTACATTTCACAAAGTGACAAAATTAGAATTCATGGGTTATCCAGCCCAAATGACTGAATGGTAAACCAGCTTGGTCTCTTAGTCTGAAAGTTCCGGGCTCGATCTCTAGAGGTGGTGTTGTCGTGGGTGCCCATTGCTGAAGAGCCCCAAACTAGTACGAAACAGCTGTCCAGTGCTCCCGGGGTTTTCATTGATCTCCCTAACTGATATTAATCCACAAAACCCTATAATCTCAATATCAAATTAAATTGTCCAAGTAGCATATATATTCAATCAAAAAGTATTGAATAATTAAGCACATACAACATTCTACTTACCTTTAGTCGATGGACACTGAAATATTCCATGATACATTGGAATGAATTGACGTAATAGTTTAAATGCTTCTGATGCATCCGGTGAAAAAACACGTTCATAGAATATCACCTCACGCATACCTCTTGAACAATCTTGAAATGACTTGTAGATAAGTGCTCTGGCCTGATCTTTGAGGACTGAAGTGTTGAAAGAAAAAGGTTAAAAATAATGAAAATAAATATCAGTATTTCTGTCTGTCTGTCTGAATTCAACATAGAACTTGGCACTCAAGTGCAGCAGTTCGAGTTACTACGTTCCAAATAGCACACAAAGGTAGACAAGAAGATGAGTGAAGAAAATCAATAGAGTTTTGACAAGTATAAGAGTGAAACAGAATGAGTAATGGTAGAATGGAATGTGAAAGATTACAGAGACTGAATACATCTGCGTAAGCCATTGATAACGATTTTGAGCCATGTCACCTATTGTCTCCAGCCATTGATTCTTAGAGCCCCGAGGGCCCCAACCCAGAAGTCTGCATCTCCCTACCTGACTTAGTTTAACTGTCAAGGATTTCATGGATTGATGAGGCCATGTTTTTGTTTGGCATGGCACCGGTTACTCTTTTCCAACCTGCACCTATATCAGCTAGTAATGCCCGTCCGTCGGGGGAGGCGATGGTTAGGCATGCGCAGCACGTGACCTAGCCATCTCAATCTATGTAACTTTATAGCCTCGTTGATTGATTTTCCCTCTTTGCCCAACACTCTACGCCTAACGTCAACATTACTTACCTTATTATACCACCTAACGTGAGGAAGAGATCGTAAACATGTATGACCAAAAACAGACAACCTTTTCATGTCTTCAACTCGTATTGGCCATGTTTCAGAGCCATAGAGAAGGACGGAGCGAACTGCTGAGCAGTACACACGTCGCTTGGTTGATAGCCGGATGTCACGCCTACGCCAGAGACGGTGTAATTTAGCGAAAGCATCTCGAGCTTTTTGGATCCGTGCTGAGATTTCGTCGCCAATCAATCCGTTGGTGCTGATACAACTCCCCATATAGGTAGGGTGGTCAACATGTTCTATCACTTCACTCCCTATCACTAAGCTAGGAGTTGACGTAGTCCAGTCCTGTAGCAGCGGTTCATGGTTCAGCGGTAGAACGTCCGGGGGTCGAACTCCAGACGACTCACTCTTGAACCTCACTAAGCCGGTAGTAAGACCAGTAGGGAGGGAAGGTTGGGCGTAAGGCTAGCAACTCCATCTCGTAAAAATAGAACCACTGCTACCGAGACTTCAAAACTTTAGCTCGAAGCCCTATGTTCTACTCAAAACCTACAGGGATTAAATAATAATAATAAAATAACTATTTTTGGTCTAACTATCGATAAGTGAGTAAATTTTTAAAAAAAATATGTAGGGTGAAATCGCAGCCCAGTTGACAAAGTAGTCGACTTTTTATCATTCAATTCTACGTTAAGAGGTTGGAGCAGTCACGTGATTGACAAACCAGTCTAAGACTTTGCTCAGAGGAAAATGTATGACTCTTATGACCCTATAGGCAGTTGTACACACGTGGAAAAGAGTTGGTAGACCTCAGTCGTTCTCTTGAAATGCTCACATGGGGTTATGTATTCATAGACCCCCCAACCCCCTCACAGGTAAGTCCTCTTCGTCACTGTCTTCATGCAGACGCAGAGGTATCCCTCACAAAATAAATTGAAAGGAAGAATGCGAACGTCTAGTGTTTATACTCGGACCGGTGGACATCCACGTCTACTTAGCTGGAGCTGGAAAACCCTGATCTCAAACATATATGGTGTACATGGGCACTACAATCCAAGCGGATTGAATGACGTATGCATCTGTTTTGATCACCGTCAACCACATGAGAATGTAGCTCCTAACGCTGCTCCAGTGCCTTGTGAGTCAGACTTCAAGTCACAGGCTAAGGGTTGGTCACTTAAGACAGCCATCTGCTTAGGTCTGGACGTCTGTGTAGTACCTCAGCCCTCTCATGAAGTATCAGGATTTGTATGGTGCACCTTTTGGTGATAATCGTGTATTAAGTTTATGTTTTAATAAATTTTATAATTACAATAGTAATATGCAAGTAAATTACTCTGTAGCTAGACTCCTGACATTTACGATTAAGCAACAGTACCAATTTCTTTCCAGTGAGTACACAATATAATTAGTACAGTTACACAAAACTAAGTAATATTTCATGACAAGGCAGCACGAGGTAATACAAGTTCATAATATTTAAAGTGGCCAGGAGAGCCAAAATATTGTTGACACCTTGAGTTGCAATCTGCGAATGCATGACATGCAATTCGCTCCTGCTGTCAAATGTAAGATGATGCTACAGGAATGGACTGGACTATATTGACTGACTCCTAGCTTAGAAATAGGGAGTGAAGTGGTTGGTGGAGCGTGTTGACCACTTCACTTATTTGGATGGGGAGTTGCATCAGCCAGTGTCGACGGGTTGATCGCTGACGAAATCTCAGCACGGATACAGAAGGCTACTTTCGCATATACCAGTTAACGCCGTCTCTGGCTTAGTAGACGTGATATCCGGTTGGCTGTCGACTAAATGGCGTGTGTACTGCTCAGCAGTCCGCCCCGTCCTCCTTTATTTCTGTGAGACCTGATCATTGAGAGTGGAAGACATGAAAAGCTTGGCTAGCTGTCTTTGATCATAGGTCCCTGAGTTCTATCTTCTGTGTGAAGTGGTATAATAGGGTGAGCAACATCGAGGTTAGGCATCGGTCGAGTGCTAGGTAAGGAGAGGAAATCAATCGATGAGGCTGCTGTGAAGTTACATCGATCACCTTCCTCGACAATGGGGAATGTTAGCTGACTACCATAGGATGGATAAGGTTGGAAAAGTGCCAGTGATGGTCAAAACAAAACATGTCTTCATCAATCAATGAAATCCACAACAGTTAGTTTAAGCCAGCCACGCAAGGGGGTGTACACTTTCTGACTGGTTGGGGTCCTCGAGACAGCAAAATCCAATAGCTGGAGACAATTTGGTGCTATTACGATTCTTTTTGCCTCATGTCTCTGTTTACTGTGCCTATTTTGCACTTCTTTTTACTTTCTTCTTCTCTGGCTTTGTGTGCTACATGGAGGGAGTTTGGCAACTCAAACTGTTGCTGCACATCTGTGCAAAGTTCTGTGTTGAAACCAGTCAGCTAGTCAGTCAGTCAGTGACACTTGTCAATAATTACTAAAAAAGAAATAAAATTAACTAGGCGGCTTGGCATTTAATCAATTTTCACTACACCATGTCAGTGTGTGGTTTAAAAACACAAATTAGTCTGATTACTGTATGACATGTGTGTGTGTGAACAAAGGGGGGAGGGTTGAAAGCACTCAACAACGTTTCAATTGACAAGAATTCACATGTGTGTGTTACTTTATTTTGTTCTTGTCTATACGCCTATTATATTAAAGACTTTGCTTTATTGTTTTAATGAGTATGCTTGATTAGCGCGCGCGCGCGCGCTTAAAACAGCGCTTTCTCTTTGTAGTTTAAGTCGGAACACGTAAACTATAATTTTTTTAAAAACAACTAATAAACTGAATGAATTCTGACAAGAAAAAAATGTACGCAGTTATCACAACACGGTCTAGCTAAATATCATTCATTTTTAGTTTTATATATATAATTATCAGTTATATTATTTTCAAGAGTTGGTTCGTAAGGATAAGATTTATTTTTACGAATTTGACCACGGATTGATATCAGTTAGAGAGAACCATTGAAAACCAGCCACAGGGAGTACTGGACAGCCAGCAGCTTTATCCGTCCTAGTTTGGGAATCATCGGCAGTACGCACCTACCCCACAGGGGATTCGAACCCAGGACCTTCTAGTTATAAGGCAAGCTCACATACCATTCAGCCACTGGGATCCGACTCCTCAATGGCCATTGTATGAATTCTAACTTCTACCGATTCGGTGGGAAATCCATCCTCACTCCCGACTAGATTGACCTCACTGGTCACGACTTCTCACTGGAATTCCAGGAAACTAACTCTGTCCTGTAGCAAGTCACAAGCGAGCATCAGATTAATTTCCTATAGTTTGGTTTGTAAGGAATAGATTTGTCTTGACGAGTTTGACCACTGTCGATGATATCCAAACTAGGGGGATGAAACAGCTGGCTGTCCAGTACTCCCTGTGGCTGGTTTTCGATGGTTTTCTAACTGATCAATCAATCCGTGGTCAAATTGGTAAAAACAGTAATATTATATTTATACTTTCAAATCATGTGACATTTCACAGTAATGTGGAAAACAAACCACAGGCATGAAAATAAAAATAGACATTTCATGGTTGAAGGCGGTAAGCAGGGAGCTCCGCCTAACCTAGCTATTATTATTATTATTTAAACACAAAAAACTTGGTACAATATAGCGCCAAGAAGATGCGCCACTCAATAATAATAAAACAACATGGATTAAAAGTTAAAAAATATAGGTGTAGAGAACGGATAAAGAACTTCATATGGAAGGAAAACAGTCATACTTAACAAGTTTAAACAGTATTCGTCTACTATCATCGGGAAGGGAAGAAAGAAAGAAATTGCAGTATGTTCGCCATTGATGACTGCGATTCTTGGTCATGTCATCCGATACATTTTCGAGTCACCAACCAGGGAGTTGTGACACCCCAACCGATGCTAACCTAACACAAATATCCTTTATCCCACAACTTAACATTATGGGCTAACCACCTCTCTGCTTTTTCCATCGCATCTCAAGGCTAGCAAACATAGACCAGTACGGAAGTCTCTGGGATGACATTCGTAACACATGTCCAAGCCACTGGGGCCAGTGTTTCCGGATGACAATGAACAATGAATGGTGATATCCACTGTGTCCAAACACACGATGCCAGACCTCAGAATTACTCATACGATGATGCCATCGAACGCAAGCAATCCTACGGAGACAGTGATGACCGAATAAGTAGAGTCGCCACACATTCTCAGCTCGGAGAGGCCAGGTTTCACAAGCGTAGAGCAAGACAGCCCACACCGAAGCATTGTAAACCAGACCTTTGATAGTCAGACTAACTTTGCGACATCGCTAGAGGTGGCTCAAGTTGATGTATGCTACCCCGGCTTTCATGCTGCGGTATGAAATCTCATTCGTCAAACCTCCGCCAGCAATCACACAATTACCCAGATACACAAATTTATCGACAACTTCAAGTGGTTCAACTACAAAAGTGGGTGGAAGTACAGGCTCCTGCCAGTCTTGTAACAGTAATTTGCAATTAGACGGCGCAAAACACATACCATGCTAACAGACCTAGGTTTTGCGCTTGTTGGCACTCCCCAGTCTGCAAGGCGTATTTTCAATCTTGAAGGAACTAATGAAATTCAAACCAGTGTCACCACCTAGTGCTGTAGTCAGAGACGTTACCACTGAGCTATTTGGGCTCACGATTGACTTTCTGTAGGACTGTATTTGACACTTTGATTGGACACTAGGTATTCAGTAAATAATGTCTAATAATATGCGTCACTGGCACAGTGGTAGAATGCTTACCAACCACGCAGGTGGTTCGGGGTTCGATTCCCAGCCACCGACGGCGCACTGCTTCACCGCGCTAAGCCAGTAATAAGACTGGTAAAAAGGAAAGGTCGGGCATGAGGTTAGCAACCTCATCCCGTAAAAATAAATACCACTGCTACTGAAAATTCAAAGCTCTGGCTTGAAGCCCTATGTTCCACTGGGAACGTAAGGGAATAAAAAATGCATAGTGATAATGCCTAGTCTTCGGTGGTGGTGCAGACTGAAGTCTACCACAGTCAAGTTATCAATGTGGCCACCATATAAGGTGGTTCGCCATCGCAATGGCAGTTGAACTCAACACGAATTGGAACCTTTCTCTAACTACTATTAAGGAACTGAATGGCGAATCCATTATCGAACTCCTATAATCTCATAATTCCTAGTTTTGATGACCACATGTCATAGTCCAAATTATGATGAAGCAAACAAAACATGCAATTTTTAATGCACAACCGGATAAAGTGCTGCAGTTTATCAAGCCTTTTGTATCTGTGGTGAGATTTCGTCATCAAGTAATCCTTTACCGCTGCAAGTCAGATAGCATTGCCTTATATCTGACAGGGGTGGACCTAGAATTTTGCTTAAAAAATTCAGAAAATTCCAGATTTTGTGAGCGTATGACCATGCTGATTGCATATCTTGTCTAGATTATGGATAATGTAGGTTGACTGAGGTCATACAACCACTTTTATTTGCTTATAAATAGTATGAACCATCAGTCCATCAGTCACAAAATAACTTTTTGAACAAGTTCAATGATTAAAACACTCAACCATTTCACTCTTATTTTTCGAAAACAAACAAACTGTCTCACACTGAAGGGATCGATTAATTTTTTTTCAAAAAAATACATTTGGACACAGTTGTTAGCACTAGACATACTGAACAAGTAATTCTGATAACTCTCACTCTTTGTAAATTGAAGAATTCGAATATTCGTTTATAGTAAAAAAAATTAGCGAACAACCACTTAGTCAGTAGAGTCTAATTTCGTCCTCTGATAGAGAAACATATCAAGTATCATATACTACTAATTGCGCTATCCTATAGATTGTAAAGAAAGAAAATCCGACCAATGGATTCTTACCAAAGTCTGAGATTGATTTGGCCTTCGTTTTTTCCTTAACTCTAATTAGACAACAAAACCATATGAGGATTAATCGGATTAAAATAAATCCCTCTGCATCAGCTGATTACTATTAGTCATACTAAGTCTTGAGCAAATAGAGATATGAGGCAAAAGAATAGTAATATGGAAGAACAATAGATCTTTATTGGATACGATGAATCCCAAAGAGTTAATGCATATGCGCCAGCTATTGAGAACGATTTTGGTCCACATCACCAATTGTCTCCAGCCTTTATAGGTTCTTATCATCCCGAGGACCTCCAACAGTCAGGAAGTCTACACCTCCCTACGTGACTGGCTGGCTGGCATAAACTAACTGTTGTGGATTTCATTGACTGACGAAGCAGTGTTTCCATTTGACCACCACTGGCTAACTCTTTTCCAACCTAACCCTATGTCAGCTAAAATTTCCCGTCGAGGAAGGCGATCGATGTCTAGGGATGCATTCGTAACACACGTCCTAACCATCTTAATCGGCGTATTTTTACAACCTAGTCCATTGATTATCCCTTCTCACCTAGCCCTCGATGCGTAACCTCGATATTGCTCACCTTATTATACCACTTAATACGGGAGATAGAACGCAGGCAAATATGATCAAATACAGCTAGCCTGTTCGTATCTTCCAACAAAACTAACATAAACAAATGCATGGTAGGAGCCTAATTGTAGGTTTTGAAAACGGAAAATGTCTTCTGGTGATACACTAAAAACTATTAGTAACAACCAAATCACCTATTTTCATAATTATAACTTTATACTGACATCTATTATGTCAAACAAGTACAAGTCACGCGCCTACGACATGGATCCGTACGATGAAGGATAGTTATGCTACATTAGCATATGTCAGTGCATCACGACTTCTTCGGTGGGGTCAGACAGATAAATCAAATCATTAACTTCAGAGCCGTTATCATATTGCATATAGAATGTCAGAAATAAAATCATTATTAATCAATAAGGAGTGATGAAATAATTCATATTTATGAATAATCAATAACAAGTAACTTACTTTCAAATTTATGTGAATTCTCTCTGGAATGACCAGCCACCTGGAATGCATATGGTTCTGTACATGGAGGTAACGGTAAAACATCACCAAAGACCATTGATGATCAATTTGATATGCATACAGTTGGTTTGGTAACGTTTCTAAAAAAAAAAAAGAAAGAATTTCAGTGAAACTTTATTTATTTTATTCGACATTAAACCTATTTAACGATCCAAAAGGAGAAAACCGCTAAAGAGGAGATACCTTTCATAAGGTAAACAACTTGTCATCGTTAGTTAAATAGGGCCTTGAGTTGCATTTATTACACAGCAGAAAAATAGACCCCTAAATTCACCTGCAGAAAACTTTTTAAGTAATTGTATGCTGAAATAAAACTTGTGTCCCATTAAGTTAAAATAATCTAAGCCATTCTTAATGTTAGAAATACAATTTTATTATCAAGCTGACACTCAAACGGATTCATACAATTTAAGGGTAACAGTCACACCGTTACTTTTAACAATCAGAACCAATTAGGTGACCAATTTGAGTAACATAATATTAGTCGCAAGAAGTGAGCATACTTGTAAAACTACGGGGAATATATAGTATTTCTATTCAGTTGTTAGGTTTATAATGAACTCAATTTATATAAACGTCTTTACATGTTTTTCTTTGTAAGTTTTGTCTTATCTGGTTACTATGATGACACACATTTTATTTCTAATTTTTCAACATTTAACTGAATTTAACCCCTCTAAATATATAAAATTCAAGTTATTCAATCTAAGTTTAATTTTCACTGTTCCCTTCAGAAGTGACTATTTGAATCATACAACCAATACTGACTTTCAAAGACTCAATGAACAAACCAGTTCCACTATTATGGATAATGTGGTTAGCAAATAATAAATTTTTAATTATTTCTCTACATTTTCATTGGTTGTCGACCAGGTCAAAAGTCGATTAGGCGTAACCAGGGACCACTGAAATAGTATAGTTAAGGTGGCACGCTTCGTAATTTATTCCTATTTTTAGTCACCTTACAATAATTTTTCTTATAAAACTAGCGGGTTCTTCCCCTTAATATTCGATTAATTAAAATAATTAAATTGCTGACTATTTGAAACAAATTAAGAACATGCCTTACAGTGTTAAGCATTTTTGTAAGTCTACGTTATTATGCATCTGACTAGAGCTTAACGATTTAGTAGAACAATACTAATAACCAATTTCGTTGTGCAGCCGCTTAATGAAATTCATGTGGTTGATAATTAAGTTACATCGCAACCATTAATATAAATTATCTACTTAGAGACTGGATCATACCTATAAGTTTAAGCTTACGCAGCACTGCTGCAAAGGACCTGCTTAATCCAAATTAAATTATCTCCATTGCTTGTAAGAGAGTAAAGGATGAAACTCGGTTACTGTCAACTGCCCCATAAAAATATTTCGACCAAGACAGTTGAATTAGTACATTCCAAAGTATATGTCAGGTGGAGCTAATTTGAGTGACGACTGAAAGAACTATCCAATAACATTCCAGTCCTAGGAGAGAATGGAAAAGATTTTTCAGACGCTCGGATCTGCGCACCTATTCAGTAATGAGCATAAAGATTTTGCCAGTGTGGATAAGGTTGAGAAGCTGAATGTTTTGAGTGCACTCGTAAACCATAAATTCGTTTATGCGTGAAACGCACTGGTGCACAGGAAGCATAGGTGCACTGAATAAAATCGGGTTGAGATAACCCAAATAGCCAAATTTACGCAGCAATCGATATGTTAAAAAAGACAATATATTCAGAATAACCAGTAATATATTCAAATGGTTACGTGAGAAAATTCCTTATGCGATTAGATTTGCTAGGTAATTAAATTGTACAAGAATGCAAATTCATTAAAAGTGACTGAATAGAAAATTTGTTTTTATATAAAAATAGCTAAGCAAAAATAACATACTCACAGCAACCAAACTTTTAATTTTCTGGTGCTCAAAACCAGAGTACTGCAACATTTTGAAAAGCCGCTTCTGAACCGACCTTGTCAACGTTCAACCATTGTCATTATCTCGATTATTATTACATCTACTTAATCCCAAACCCTATTGTTGACACAGTATAGATTTTTCATGTTTCTCATATTTTAAATTTCATTTCATACACGAATATATCCCAAAGGTATATATTTCACAACTGAATAATTTTTATAATAATTGTCGTGGGGATTTTAGTACCTGATTTACTATGAGGATAAAGGTGAGTCTCGTTAGTTAAAAAAAGCTGATTATGCTTCGAAACGTCTTCGTTCAGATTGAAATAGCTACAAATAAGGTATGGTATTTAGTTCATATATGAATCAAACAATTCCAACAGTGGTGTGAACACGGGCAGTAATTTTGCTCGAAATATTACCAATAACAAAACTTATCATTGTGTGTAAACTATTAAAATATAATTATACTTTATTTAAAAACTCTTGTTTAATTTTAGGTGACATTCAAGTCATTAGAACAAATAAATCGGGAAAAGAATCACACAGAGATCGCAAGCTCGCCCTCATAAAACCTTTATTGGCGGGGTATTCTAAGTCACAAGAAGATGGCAGAGTGCAACATCCTGCGTCGGTAGCACAATGGTTACGACTATCGCCGATCATGCACATGGTCCGGGGTTCAATCCTCTGCTGACGCACACCTGATATCAATGGTTGGCCTGCAAAATTTGGGCTACCGATATCACATGCTGAAAATTCAATACTTCTACCAAAAAGCACTGTGTGGAATCAAGCTGTAATCAATAATCAAAAATCAAAATCCTTAGACATGTTGGCTTAAGTAAGTGATGAGGTTGCGCGCCCACTTTAAGTATGGTATACTGAACACTTCAAATAGAAAACAAGTAGGTGGTTAAAGACACACAGATTAGTGTTTACTAAGGTAACTGTTACCTTCGGCAAGATTACAACACTAATATTTTGTCAGATTTACATCAACCGTAATTTTATTGAAGCATTAATAGTTAAGTAGTTTGAGACCAGTGAAAGTATTCAGTGTCACCGGTCAGAACAGATGAAATTATTCTTTTCACTGTTTTTGTAAGCCCACAGCGTCAGTGAGCCTACATTTTAAACCTAACCCAGAGGATAATGGCTTGCCCACGGACACATTTCCTGTATTCGCTTGAGCACTGTGTACTGCATTTTGACTTTGGGACATATTTAAGGACCATAGACACTGAAGGACATTTTTTATGAAGCACTACCGTCAGCCTAACCAACCGACAAAAACAGTAATGGTCGGCATACAGTGTTCAGTAATAATGTAGTCTAATACGGGGTTGTTAAACGGTATAAAGTTCTGTAGGGAACCAAAGAAGGTTGTCAAATCAGTCGGACATTCAGCGGTCAATTTGTTTATTTGTGCAGGCTGGAACACTGCCGGACAATTGGATTTCTGGGGTACCGGGACTCAGCAGCTCCTCTGTGGTACAAATGTATACTTCTAAAATTTGTTAATATCATGACTAATAAATGCACGTTTCAGCAGTCGTAAGTGTTATAGCTAGTTTGGGCGGTGCTGAGAACGACATGGCCACCGGGTTAGGTGGGCCATGCCAAAGAGTCAGCAGGTAGTGTTGCCGAAGCTCAGATCTAGTAGGATAGATGGCCAACCATCAGTTTCAAGCGTTATTTCAGGTCGAAATCAACTGGAATATAGGTCGAAGTTGTTCAAACAGCCTAACTGATTGTTTTCCTAGAATTCACCCAATCGGAGATTTTGGATAATAATAAGTGTCAGCACTGAATGACATAATGGATTTATTATGCTCTTGTATCTACTACAGAATGTCGAGTAGCGGTACGTCCAACGTTTGCGTTACATTTTTGCGTGATTCGTTACATAAAATTTATCTTGTTGTAATCCTTGCACAAGTCCTCTACTACTTCCATACCTATAACTATTAACTCTCATATCAAATAGTTATGGTTAACCAAAGTAAAAAGCAGCGAACTCAATCCCCTGTAAAACTGATGACTAATTTTAAGTCGTTGATTGCTACATCAAGCAACATACTTCCTACAAATGGTTATAGTGAGCCACAAAACTCACTTGTATGTCGTAAGCGTCGAGCTGAAACTGAGGATAAAACTACACTGACAGCTAGTATTAGCACTACTCCCAAAAATTCAGTATCCTCTGCTCATACAGAAACCCTCCCTACACCTTATGTGCTTATCGGAAAGCTCCAGCCTTCAAGCTCTGTTTCAGTACTATCTTCAGAAATAGAACTTCTAAAGTTGTCTATAGGAGAACTTAAGGCCGAGTTAAGGGACTTAAAAAACAATAAGTCAGTAGATCCTGGAATTTCCGATACCAATACCAAAATCTCCAATTTATCAGGTCAGATCAGTGATATCAGACTGCAGGTCTGTGAACTGACACCTTTAACTATTCTCATGAAAACTGTAGACCTTAACAAACTTGACAGTGAATCGGTATCTAAGGTGGATAACCTAATTAACTTTGTTACTACAGAAGTAACAAAACGACTAGATGCTAAATTAAATGCTATTGTCTACAACGTCCCGGATGATGAGGCACTAAAAAAGGTACAGCGCATCCTACTTAGTGAGGCGAAAATGCCAAACTCCAAGACTAAGTGCTACAGGCTGAAGAAGAGTCAACATGACAAGTGTTGTCCTATTCGTTTTCAGTTCGAAACACCGGCTGAGGCCAGAAAATTTACCCACTCCCAACACACCCTATCGCAAGCCAGAAATTACAAACTAATAAAGGTTGCGGTGGACAAGACCGTCATAGAAAGGCGCGTATATAATTATCACACTGAGTCTAATTCTGGAATAAACAATAGGACATTGCAAGCAGCAATTATACCCAACCCTTTGAGAGACACCGTAGAATCCACCGCACCACCCCTCTCTAACCACACAGAATTATCTTCTCAGAGAGCGACACCAACCGAAAGGCCGCTAAGTTGTAATCAAATAGCCAATAAAACTATACCACCTACCACCGTAGATTTAGACATGTCACTAAATAATCCAAGAAAAGAAGTCAAAATCCCCCGAAAGTTGACCCTTTCCTCTCCTAGCCATAAGTCCATTGGTAAAAAAGAGAAGAATATGACCCCAAATCATGCCAACAACAACAATGGCAGTATAAGTAAGCCCACATTCCCCACGGTCAATAGTATTGGCACCCACAACGTGCGAAATAGCACCATGGCCCACACTGATAACCAACGCCAAAACAATGCCACCCTCAAGAGTACAAGTGACAATAGTCAGAACTCGACCACCAACAACTCAGGGCACTCACAGTATGGCACGCTAATAAATTTTGATCGGATATACGGTACAAGTCTGCTGGGAACTAACCCACAAAGCAGTACATTCGAAACCCTCACAAGGACACCACTAGTACCTAACAATAGGTGGAATAATAGACCATGGTCTTCACAAGGTCCCAATCATTTTTTATCCCCTGCGTCCCTGTCAGCGTTGAAAAAACAGCTGGTAGGGATGCTAACACTCCTAAACCGCTAGTGCTGGCTCCCCCTTTGCATGAATGTAGGAACAGTCTAGTTCGCCCGCATCCACTAAGCACACTTGGTACATGCACAAGTTTAGGTCAAATTAAGATCCCTACCCCCGTTTCTAGCTTAACTAAAAATAAAAATGCCTTAGCCTATAGCGCATCCAGTACTCCAACGCTCAATTCTTCACCGAAAACAGCACACACCAACTCGATAGACATAGGTGAACATGATGCTGAAACTCCTCTTAACATAGGGTCGTCATGTCAAACAGTACTACTGGGTGCTGGACCACATTCGGGGCTGATTAACGAACTTAAGTACTTCAAATGCTATCTCAAATCTTATCTTTACCTAATCCTCATAAATGCTAGATCCGTTCTAAATAAACTACCGATGCTCAGAGCACTCACAGTAATATACAAACCCCCTATAATTGTCATCACTGAATCCTGGTGTAATTCTAACATACTGGATGAAGAGATAAGCTTAGATAACTATACACACTTTCGGTGTGACAGGGAAGGTGGTAAGGGAGGGGGTTGTCTCATGTACTTTCTGAATACACTTACTGTATCACAGCTAGAAAGTAGTACACTTAACATGCCTGAGACTTTATGGGTTAACTTACACTTAAATAACGCAATAGTATTAATTGGATGCACCTACAGAGCACCTGGCACCTTTAGTAATTACGAGACCCAACTTATTAATACTCTAGAACAATTATCCACCCTCCACTACGATCATAAGATCCTATGTGGAGACTTTAACTTACCAGAAATCAACTGGGAAATACCCACAGGTCCAACTAAACTTGATAAGTTCTTAGGCACACTGGATATACTTGGCTGGAAGCAGACTGTCACAAACCCTATAAGAGGTAATAACGTACTAGACTTAATCTTCTGCCACAATATAAGTCCCCTTTCTACCCTAGTAGGTTCTGAGTTTTCAGGGAGTGACCACAAAACAGTGCTGTGTGCACTGCCACTTCCGTCAAGTAGCAATGCAACCCATACCCCTACTTCACAACAAATAACTTACAGGAACTACAGTAAGGCAGACTGGACTCTAGTGAAATCAATGTTAAGATCCTCAGAATGGAGTGAGTACTTCTATACTGATAGCCTCTCGAAAGCTCTCGACATCTTTTACTATAACTCCAACACATGCTTAGATGCTGTCATCCCATTTCAAACACTAGAGTTTTCCCCACATAGAAAGACATTCATAAAGCCAAAGGATCGTAAGAAACTGAAAAGACTGTCAACAAGTTACTTCAGGCGACACGACTTTAGTACACTAGGGTCAATACTTAGTACTCTTAGCTCCATCTCGCAAGCTCATAACTTGCGTATGAGAAATGAAGAATGCACGGCACTAGCCAGCACCACCAGAGTAGGTGCTCTCACAGAAATACTAAAGAAACGAATGAATCGCCAAAGCCATAAAATTTCTCTCCTTATAAACAAGGGCAA